GTCGATCCGTTTATGGGATGTTAGGACAGGATAATAAAAAGCCTAATTAGATGGTCATTTAGGATCTGTATGGTCAGTCAATTTCTCTCCTGATGGTACTAAATTAGCATCTGGTAGTTATGATAAGTCGATCCGTTTATGGGATGTTAAGACAGTATAATAAAAAGCTGAAGTAGATGGTCATTCAGGAGCAGTATGGTCAGTCGATTTCTCTCCTGATGGTACTATATTAGCATCTGGTAGTTATGATAAGTCTATCCGTTTATGGGATGTTAAAACAGGATAATAAAAAACCAAATTAGATGGACATTCTGAAACTGTTTATTCAGTTAATTTTTCTCCTGATGGTACTACAATAGCATCTGGAAGTTATGATTAGTCTATCCGTTTATGGGATGTTAAGACAGGATCATAAAAAGCCAAATTAGATGGTCATGAAAATGGAATAATATCAGTCAATTTCTCTCCTGAAGGTAAGACATTAGCATCTGGTAGTTTTGATAAGTCGATCCGTTTATGGGATGTTAGGACAGGATAATAACAAGCCTAATTAGATGGTCATTTAGGAGCTGTATGGTCAGTCAATTTCTCTCCTGATGGTACTTTATTAGCATCTGGTAGTTATGATAAGTCTATCTGTTTATGGGATGTTAAAACAGGATAATAAAAAGTCAAATTAGTTGGTCATTCAGAAGCTGTATAATCAGTCAATTTCTCTCCTGATGGTGCTACATTAGCGTCTGGTAGTTCAGATAACTCTATCAGATTATGGAATGTCAAGACAGGATACTAGAAAGCCTGGTTTTTCGGTCATTCAGATTACGTCATGTCAGTCAAGTTCTCTTTTGATGGCACTACATTAGCATCTGGTAGTTATGATTAATCTATCCGTTTATGGGATGTTAAGACAGGATCATAAAAAACCTAATTAGATAGTCATTCAGGTTATGTTTATTCAGTCAATTTCTCTCCTGATGGTACTAAATTAGCATCTGGTAGTAATGATTAGTCTATCCGTTTATGGGGTGTTAGAAAAGGATAAAAAAAGGCCTTATTGGAAGGTCATTAATCAGGTATTTCTTCAGTCAATTTCTCTCCTGATGGTGGTACATTAGCATCTGTTAATATAGATATATCTATCAGATTATGGAATGTCAAGACAGGATAATAAAAAGCAAAATTATTTGGTCATTCTGGTTATGTTTCTTCAGTCAATTTCTCTCCTGATGGTACTTTATTAGCATCTGGTAGTTATGATAAATCTATACGTTTATGGGATGTTAAAACAGGATAATAAAAAGCCAAATTAAGTGGTCATTCATCTGTTGTTACTTCAGTCAATTTCTCTTTTGATGGTACTACATTGGCATCTGGGAGCTATGATTAGTCTATACGATTTTGGGATGTTAAGACAGGATAATAAAAAGCAAAATTAGAAGGTCATGAAAATGGAATCTTATCTGTCAATTTCTCTCCGGATGGTTCTACATTAGCATCTGGTAGTTATGATTAGTCTATACGTTTATGGGATGTTAAGAAAGGATAATAAAAGGCCAAATTAGATGGTCATTTAGGAGCTGTATGGTCAATCAATTTCTCTCCTGATGGTACTATATTAGCATCTGGTAGTTATGATAAGTCTATCCGTTTATGGGATGTTAAGACTGGATAATAAATAGCCTATTTAGATGGTCATTAAAGTTATGTTTTTACAGTTAATTTCTCTCCTGATGGTACTACGTTAGCATCTGGTAGTTTTGATAAGTCTATCCGTTTATGGGATGTTAGGACATTATAATAAAAAACCTAATTTGATAATTAGATAGGTTACGTTTATTCAGTCAATTTCTCTCCTGATGGTATTACATTAGCATCTGGTGGTTATGATGAGTCTATCAGCTTATGGGATGTTTTAATTGGATCAGCAATCTTATCTTCAGAAAATCGTTAAAAAGACATTCTTGCTTATTTTTAACCTCCAAGAAACAGTACCATTGAGAATGGTATTTATTCATTATAATTTAGTTTCCTCTTTTAATACTCTCCTTCTGATTTCAAAATAGCTAATTTTATAAACATAAGGAGCTCTTATTTTTAAAGCAGAATTTGTAACTCACCAAAGAGTTGATCTAAAATCATCATTCATATCCAAAGGAAGTTATATTTTAGAAAACCTATTTAGGTTATAAAGACAATGAAAATTGATTATTATTAAGAATTATATAATACAATAACCCATTATCATTAAAGCATATTTTTAATTTTTTTGAACAAGGTCAAATAATTTTATCACTTCTCTCGCCCCTTTTTACCCCAGTAAAAAATAAAAAACCATCAAAAAAAAAATTGATGATACTTTTTGTGTTTGAATTTATAATGAGTTTATTGTCTTGCGGTATTTAGGATAAAATTTGTAACTTGCAAATTGGAGTTGGGATAGTAAGAGAAGAAAAATAAATTAGATTTACGTTTTACAAGGATGAGAGTAGGGGGCTATAAATTAGTGAGCTGAAAGAGAATGATGAGTTCACTTCAGATTATTTCCAGCCCTATAGAAGCAATTTTTAGCACACTTGCCCAAAGTCACAAATTAGATTCATGATGGTTGAAAATATGGGATCCTTTTCCTAAGGCATAATTAGAGTAGTAAGGCAAGTCAGCAAGAGTAGTTATCTACAAATATCTTATATATCTTTTTCATGCTAGAAGGTAATTCAATGAAAGCTACACAATTTTACTCTATTAACTATATTATTTCACATATGATATCATCCCTAAATTTTGTCTTTTTTTCATTTGCTCAAATTCTAAAAAATCACAATTCATGATTTATAAAGACTTATTTACAGTTATTACTATTTTAATAATGATATTTTTCAAAAAGTAAAAGATACTCACACTTTCGATTTTATTATTTGATATTTCCTTTTTACAAATATGCTAGGGTACTAAGAGTGTAAGGGCAAGTTAAAGTTGTCTTCATTATTTGGATCAATAGCAAGAAGTATAAAATTTACTCCATATTTATATAGAAATCCTACATTACAATCAATGATGCCATTGCTTCTTTTGATTATTTACGTTTGTAATCAACACAGCCAGTAACTAATTCATTAACAAAAACCATAAACGAACCCTTTCAAAATAAAACTTAGGTTGGAAGACATTATCATTCATTAAGCGAATGAGATTCAACAACATTAGAAATTAGAAACAAAAGTGTTACAGGTAAAAGAGGAAGAACAAGAAATCGTACAAGCTTATATCAGAAAGGAATATTTGTATGAAATATTGATTTAGATTAACAATATTGACGTTTGATGAGATATTGGAAAGGCTCAGGTAAGACATGATAACAGATTATTTTAATATCTACAGAAGATAGGATAATTTTTGGAATTCTATGTACAATTGACAACCACAATGAGAAATTTATCTAATTTGGATAAATTCACTCAATTTATTAGTCGAAATGAAAGTGGATTTGAGAGAATAAAGTTTTGAGAATCTAAGGAGTAGAGGCACTTCTTTAGTTGGTGGAAATTTTGTAAAATGAAGATTATGGACCAGAATTTGATAATGAGGATATGAGTGTATTGAACTTGAATGAAGCTTAATTTTTCAATTTGTAAAGGTGTAAAATTCTAAATATTAATAATACAAAAAAGCAAACCATATTTATAGAAATTTTGAATTTTAGTCATAATAATGATATTGATTTTGAATACACAAAGCTTTTATTTAAACCTCTTATTTTATTTATTTTAATAATTCTTGTATTTTATCTATTTTATTGAATTTTAGTATTGGCATAATTAATAAAAATGTTACCCAATCAATCTTATGAAATAGGCTTTATTTTGTTTTGGAAATTTTTTTAATTAGGTTTTATCGCCACACCTCATTACTATATATTAAAGAGTATATCATAAGGTCATATCAACCATTTCCAAGAACTTTATACATCTGAACAGACTTTACATGATACACTAGGGACAACGATTTAAATGGTTCTAAATATTTCCCATCAGTATTACTGTTTAGGAAGAATTCAGACAGCTAGATCAAAGTCAATAAATGTAAGGCAGGGCGATTATGTAATAATTGGCAGATTATTTTGTGTTGAATGCCTGACAGCCTCTAAATCAATTAGCATTTCAATATTAATCACATAAGTAATTTAAAAACATTTTTTGTTTTGACTTAACAGTATGCTCAACTATTTTAACTTGTAGTATATGCGATAACCTGCATTAAATTTATCGAAATGTTATTCTGATTCTATTAGGTCGAACATTTAGGTACTAAAAGAGGATTAAACATTGAGTCAAAATATGTTGAAAAATAATTTGAACGTCAGGACATCACTTTCAAAATAACTATATTAGTAGAGCAATAAAGTGTGTCAATCATGTAGAAGCATTGCCAGGAGATTATGTTGTACAATTATCAAAATATTTATATAAGCATTAGGGGTTGCAAATTATTAACAATTAATATGATTCGATAAAAATCAAAATGATGGGAACTTAAATATGATACATCATATTCATTGTTCTACTTGAGCTGCTCTAAAATGTTCTACATTTACAACTTGAAATTTTGGTAAGCATGAACAGCATAATTTATGACCAATGAACACTTACCAAGAGTTCATATGGATAGCTAGATAAATGGGATGCTTTAGAAAAAAAAACAGTAAATTAGACATAATCTGAATTATATTATTTTATTAGACGTTAGCAACAATGAAAGGCGTAAGCGTTCTAGTCAAAATTCTATTCATTTTATTAGATAAAATTAAAGTTCTGCTGTGAATTTGATCGTTTATAGGGGGAATTCTGAATTATAATAAATCAAATAGAAAACGCAATATAAATTATATTATTTATTTGAGGAGGATATGGATTAATAAAATACTTTCATGCATGCAGATTATTGACATAACTAGAATACAATTGTTAGATATAGGGTGTAGTTTGGATCATAAGAGAAAATTCAAAAAGTACAATTTTTATTTACTAACTTTACTTCATATGCTATGCTGACGGAAATACATGCGACTTGCATTCCTGCTTTAATAAAACCCTTCTTGTTTTAATACATAATTCCACTGTTTTATATTTGGATGGTTATTTCTAGATTTTAATTATTTCTTGATTTTTTTCTCATGCTCCCAAAATCCAAAATTTTATTCTCTATGTCTGAGTAAAATTAGTCTTGTGTTCAATGTGCCGATTCTTTAAGAAGCCATTCATCCAACTCAAAGTACAAAATGACTTGATAGCTGCTTGATGTTAAGTATATATAATAAAAGCTCAACCACTCTCAATGCTTGGTATACAGCTGGTTATATCTCATTAATATCTTTGTCATGTTTCAATTTGGTTTGGATATCTTTAAGGCTACGGTAACACTTGACCCAATGATTACTGGGTTATTCCTAAGATTTTATTCCTTTTACCAGCAATTCTAATGATTTAGTAGTTCAGGAAACAATCAGTTGCTCGACTTTTATCTGTTTAAGTTGAAATCATTATACTACAGGTATAGTTTGATTGATGCTATTGAGATAGCAGCCAACCATAACCATGTTTTGTTTGTTGCAAAATTTTTAAACATTCGTTTATACTCCAAACTGCTGCGTTTATTGATAAAATTTAGCAGAATTACACCAGCTTCCAAATAGTTATATATTTTTTTGATGACAAAACCTTTATCAAAATAAATTAAATAACCCAGAAAATTAATGGTATTGAAGTGGAGCCCCCTTATGTTCAATAAACCTTGTTATTGGGTTAATGCTTATAAGTCAATCTGTGTTCCTTGAAATTTAACATATGGTATAAACTGAGTTGCATGTTCTTAGTATTTTTCATTCTCCTAGATTACACCCAAGATATAGATCAAGATGTTCTGTGTGTAATACATTGCTTGATTTTTGTTGGACATGTTGATGGCTTCTGTCAATCCTACCCCATAATTCATATTTTTTATCAAGATTCTTGGAATGCATTTCTAATTAATGCGTAATCTCATAGGTTGATTACTTTTAGTAAAGCAATGCACTAAAAAGCTTTGATTCTAATTTCCAATTAGTTAAGTTTCTCAAGATTGTTTCATAATTTATCAAGAAGACCCTTAACTAATTTTAGGCTCCCGTTATCAAATCCTTCATGAAGATAAACTTGTCGAAAATGAAACTTTGAGCTCCACTTTTGCACTAATAGTTAACATATTATATGAGATGATGGTGACTATAAATAGTTTCATTCTTGTGCTAACACTTAGACATACATTTGATATTCCTATTCTAAAGTGTGCATCTTCAAGTTCATGCTGTCATTAGTTAAAGCGCGCATTTATATTCTGACTTTAAGTATGCACTAAATGAGTTCGAATTAAAAATGCAAATCGCTCTAATATAATTATAATTCTGGATCAAAGCAATCCATTTGATATGTATGATACCAAGTACAAAAATTACAACTTTTATATTTTTAATCCAAAGACAAACAATTGTGCAATATTTTTTATACAGTAAATAATTTACAAATTGCAGCCCTGGCATCTTTTAGAAAAAATGTTAATCAACATAAGGTGAAACTCTGTCTTAGCAATATTAAGACAAAAATACTATAGAAATGATATCACTGATAAATTATTTGCTGATGTCTTGCGTTCACTAGATTCAAACTTTATAATGGAGATTGCACCCTTGCATCAATAAACAGCTCTTATATCATTGAAACTTATCAAAACAAACAACCTTACATTCAATCACTTCATAGGCTGATTCTTTTGATGAATAAATAGTCTTCATCAAGTTGGATTTATAATGAAATATCTGNTTAATCAGCTACTCGATTGTTTATGAAAATTATGAAAATATTGTTTTTAATTCTGATGAAGTGAGATCTTTGTAATATAGAAAAAGGCCTTAGGTGTTTCTAATAAATATGAATGACTTATCCTGTTAAATGAAAGCTAGCCTTCATTAAGGTATAATATCCTATCTTTAAGAGATGCAGAAGTGATTAGAGCAACTTATAGGATAGCTAATTAAAGTGAATAATGTATAACTGCGGACTGGATTGTTTTACAAACTAAGCCAATTTTCCTTACTAATATAATAAATAGCTCTAGAAAATAAAGTAAACCCTTAGAAGTATTGAGTATTGTGGTTAGGTTTTTAGGAAATCTCAAACGTTATCATAAGAATAAACATGTAACTTTTAATAGTTATAATATAGGTTTCAGGAAGAGGCTTTAAGTATAAATAACTAAAGTCAGATATTAAATAAAAGTCAAGTTTAATACATTTCTAAAATAGACTAAAAAAATTATTAGTATTACCTTATATAAAAAGAAAAAGTCAGCTCAGCCCTTTGGAAAAAAAAAATAACATCCTTTTATGATTCGTTTTATTAGGAAAGCCATACTAATCAATTGTTTCAATCAAGCCTGGATAATAAAAGACGGTTGATTTCGAATATATTGATCATTTATTGTGATGAAGTGATATTATTTTGAAGAAATTATAAAATAATTTCAATTTAAATGACAAAGCAATTGTATAAGAAGTCTAGTCAAAATGCTAAGTTTAAAAGAACAAAAAGAATAATACTTGTTGAGTTAAGTAAAAACAACCATAAATATAGTGAATAAAAATTACTATCTGAACTTTTAAGATTGCTAACTTTTGAAATGAAGAGGTGTAATTTTAGATTTTTCTCTATTTATGATGATATTATTATTGTAAATAGAGTTCCATGATCCTATTTAATATCACAACCATAAATATTCAGTTATATTATTTTAATAATATTTTAATGTAACAATTCAGATAGTTAGATAACTTATACCTATTTTCTCTCTCCCTCTAGCACAATTTATGCTTTTTCTACCTCTGCTTGCTCCTTAATCTCCTTCCAATTCTTAAATTAGTCCATTCTTCGCTGTGTAGTTCAACATAATTTGTATAATTCTCATCATAATTCTCAATCTACTTTATTTTTCATTTATTAAGTCTCTACTTTTTTCAAACTGTTATTGGAATTGGATTCCCTATTCTGATGCAAATTTCTTTCCTATTATTAAGGTCCATCACAATTGTTCTTTCTTTCCAAGATTTGAGCCTCTTCTTATTTGCACAACCCTTTAGTCTCCTTACAATAGTATTATTAATTACGTCCAAATTAAGATAAGACTTTATTTCTCACACGTCACTTCTGATTGATTATAATTAATTTTCGCTAGGTTTATTTATTCTAAATTACATAGAAAATGATAAAAGGAGTCATCTATGGTTGTAGGATTTAAGATTTAAAATACTCAATATTAATTAGGAATTAAGTTATTATCTGTAAAAATAGACTGTCAAAGGTTTTTTTAGTCTTTAGAATTGGCTAGAGCATTATTATACCAAAAAAAAAAATTTTGAAAATTGAAGATTAAAAATGACTTTAAGGAAAAATAAAAGAATTTATTACACTCTTAATAGAATTTCATCATTGACATACTTCCATTTGTATTTATACTAATTAAATGTAATAATTTTCATAATTGTTAATATGTTCTGATTTGTATTTATTTTGATTGATAATCCCATGTGATCAAATACTCTCCGCTATCACTCATTACTCCATATAATAAACTTGTATTAAAATGAATAGATTATTGAGTTACAAATTGTCCATTTAATGTTTTCGTTATCAAATTGACAAATTACCCATTCTTACTCACAACGATACATTTTGAATTTATATATTATTAAGGAAATAAACTATTAGAATCTGATCCACATTTTACATGAATGTCTGTAGTCTTTGTAAACTATTGATTTATACTGTTTCATCTCAAAAATAGATATCTGTTCTTTCTCATGTAATCATAATGGAACATATTATTATCAATAAAGCATACTCGATATGCACTTTATTCAAGTGTAATCTTTTATATTACAATCCATTCTGTATTTTGTCCTTATTATTCCATTATTAATTTTAATTTATCATAACCACAAGGTACAACTCTGTTTTATTATCAATTTATGCTTAAACCAAATACAGAATCAGAATGATTTTTATTTGTTTAGTAACACTACCATTCATCCCTTTTCATCCAAAATTTAATTGTTTTATCTCCGCTTCCTGATACAATTAAATCTTCATTGTTATTTAATATTAGACAATCGATATAACTAGTATGTCCATTTAATTTGTATTAGGAAATCCATTATTTATTTTAATTAAATTCCCATAGAATTATAGAATTATCATAACTCCCAGAAAAAAACTAATTTGATTTCTTCATGAAGTTTAAGTTATTTACACAATAAACATGTTCATTTAAATTTTAAGTTTGTTTGGTGATTCCTAACTTGAATTCAAATACCTTTATTTGACTCTCACATCCAGCTAATAATATTGAACAATCTTCATTAATAGCTATTGTACAACAGGATTCAGTTTATGAAATTGAATATTTTGGGATTAATTGATAAGTGAATGGTTTGAGATTTAATTGATTAGTTTAATTTAATGATTGTTCTTTGGGTTTAATTTAATTGTTAGTATTAAGTTTGATTACTGATTATATGTCTTAGCATAATGATTAAGCAAAGTTTGAATTCTCAATTTTAATTAAAGGAGTGTTCAATAATATGGGTATAAAATGTTGTTTTTAAAATGTATTTAGATTCAATGAATCAGAAGTATCATTTACAAGTGAATCCAAATAACAGTCCATTTTGTTGAATGAACACTAGTAAATTGATTAATCACCTATATTACTTCAATCTGATTTCATACATCTTCAAAGCATTCGATAATCTGTTGTTGATAAGCATCATTTCTTATTCCTACATTTTTATTCATTTTTCTATCACTTTTAATTTATTTAATAATGATAAACAATTAATGATTTACAAACTATTTATTTACAAATCAATTAATCTGATTATTCTACTTAAATTATTTTGAAATGGTTGTGTTCAAGATAATCTCCAGCTCTAAAGAATCGTGACTCCTAAAGCACATTTAGTTTTAATATCCTTTATGAAATTCAATTTTACCAATTTTAAGTTTCAATTGCTTGCTCTAAAATGCATAACTTTAACACATATATTCAATATAGGGGTTTAATTATTATGATACATAATCACTTCTTATCATCTAAATTTAAATATTATTCAACTTATGATAAATAAATTAATTAATAAATTTAAGCCTGAAATTGATTTATAAAACTTAGATGGAATACTTCATTTACTTATTGCTATATTCTACTTTTTAAATTTAAAAGAAATTTATTAAAA